ACAATATATATAGTGTGGGCTGTGAACATCAGGTTTTTCAAAGACTAGGTGGTATTTACTGTCCAAAAGAAATGACACCTCTACTCAAGGTCTAGCAAAGAGGGCTGTGGGAGAGAGAGAGATTAAGAAATTCAATAATACTAAAGGGATGTTATAAATAACTAGAGGCCCAGTGCACAAATATTTGTGCACTGGGGGGAGTGGGGGTCCCTCCGCCCGGCCTGTGCTCTCTCACAGTCTGGGACCCTTCGGAGGATGACCACCTGCCGGCTTAGGCCCGCTCCCCGGGAAATTGGGCCTAAGCTGGCAATCAGACATCCCTCTGGCAGTCCAGGAGCCCTTGGGGGATGTCCACTTGCCAGCAGGGAGCAGGCCTAAGCTGCAGTCTGACATCCTTAGTGCTGCTGAAGAGGCGGGAGAGTCTCCCGCCACCACCGCTGTACTGGCAGCCATCAGCCTGGCTTGTGGTTGAGCAGAGCCCCCCCCTCCCCCCCTCCCGTGGGAGCGCACTGACCACCAGGGGGCAGCTCCTGCATTGAGCATCTGCTCCGTGGTGGTCAGTGTGTGTCATAGTGACCAGTCATTCCCAGTTGTTATGCTGTTAGGGTCAGTTTGCATATTACCCTTTTATTATATAGGATAGAGGCCTGATGCATGGGTAGGGGCCTGCTGGTTTGCCCTGAAGGGTGTCCCAGATGAGGGTGGGGGGTCCCACTAGGGTGCCTGGTCAGCCTGTATGAGGGGCTGATGGGTGTTTGCAGGCTGGTCACACCCCTTCAGGGTGGGGGTCCCCACTGGGGTGTCTGGCCAGCCTGGGTGAGGGGATGATGGCTGTTTGCAGGCTGGTTAAGCCCCCCGCTCCCACCCCCCCCACCAGTGGGGACTGTCACCTCATGGAGGTTTGGCCAGCCTGGGTGAGGGGCTGATGGCTGTTTTCAGGCTGGCCAACCCACCCGGCAATGGAAGCTCCCAGCCTCTCCCTTTTTTCTTTTTCTTTTTTTATTCTGGGATTTATTTACCGTCTATAATTGAAACTTTGTTGCCTTCAGTGGAGCTCAGAGCCAGCCGCTGCAGGTGGAAAGCTTGGCTTCCTCCATCACTGGAGCAACCAAGCCTCCTGCTTGCTCCAGCTCCGTGGCCACAGCTGGCTGAAAGCAGGTATCTGGGGTTTATTTATCTTCTATAATTGAAACTTTGTTGCCTTCAGTAGAGCTCAGAGCTGGCTGTGGCAGGCGGGAAGCTTGGCTTCCTCCATCACTGGAGCAACCAAGCCTCCTGCTTGCTCCAGCTCCGTGGCTTCTGGCCCGCCATCTTGGTTGGGTTAATTTGCATATAGCCACTCTGATTGGCTGGTGAGCATGGCTTAAGGCATAGCAAAGGTATGGTCAATTTGCATGTTTGTCTTTTATTAGATTAGATTATCACAATAGGAGACCCAAGTGTAAAGGAGAAAAAAAAATAACTGAGGTCTTCTATATTTTTAACATTTATTGAGGTATTTGCTGGTTAGATTGCTTTGTTTATGTGTTTATTTCCAAAATTTTGGCTCAAATTATTAAACTCCATTTAAAGATAGCATTTGCCCTCCTAAGAATTTATGTAATAAGATTTAATAACTTTAACAACATGAGCCATAATGTTTATGAAAGACATATTAAAGTATAATTGTTATTATTTCCATATTCACCATGAGTGACATGCTTGCCAGTCTACTCAGTCAGACTGCACATATATAGCATGGAGGAGTGATTTCTTCCACAGTGCAAACTGACACCTTAAGTAGTAGGTAGATGACCACTGGTGTTCTGGGGAGCTTTACATGATTCACACTTTTAAGATTCAGGTATAATTTCATCAGTTCCATTAGGTATAAAAAAAATAATTAATTCAGGGGTTACTTCTTTGATCTAATCCTAAATAATAAAAGCCTAATATGCTAACTGTCCGAACATTCGCTGTTCAACCAGTCACTATGATGCGCACTGACCACCATGGGGCAGACTCTCTGACCGCAAGGTTAGTTTGCTGCTGGGGTCCAGCTGATTGGGACTGGGCAAGTTGGGCTGGACATGCCCTGGAGCCCTCCTGCGGTCCCTCTCCAGCCTCCATGGTGCACCGGTGGGGTACCTAAGCCTGGCCTGTGCCCTCTCACAATCTGGGACCCCTCAGGGGGTGTGAGAGAGCTGGTTTCACACCAGTGCTGAATCCGTGCACTGGGCCTCTAGTCAAAGAATAAAAGAGAATGGGCATTTCCATTTAATGATTATAAGTATTAACTAGTTTGATTAATCAATGTCTCTAGGGAGGCAATACATCACTTTTACTTCCTAGCCAACTCTATTGGCATGAACAAATAAAATTACTCCAATGTGTTTCACATTGGGAAATCTGTATGATCAATTCCACATCAGAGGTGGTGGTGAGAAAACAAACAAACAAACAAAAAAAGAAAACACAAGGAATTAGAAGGATTCTCTATTTTTTGAAAAAAATAGTAATTAAGGAAATAATTAAATTAAGAAAAAATAATAAAATAATTGGCTCCCATAAAGTTAAAGTTAAGGTAGCAGGCATTTCAAATATATAATCTATAAGGAAAGTTATTTTTACAAAAGGAAAAGAAAACAAAGCAAAAGCAACCAATGCTTTAGACTGGAAAATGCTGTTTTGAATCCTATTATTATTATTACTTAATAGTTGTGTAATATTTGGCAAATTTTCTATTTCTTTGAACCTTGCAGAAAAGTAAAAGTGAAATATCTAATATAAAATGTTATCCTGCAAGTTTGGTAAGCTTCCCTTTCTCTTCCCTCTATCTTGATATTTAACTAGAGACCCAGTGCACAATATTCGTGCACTGGGGTAGGGAGGTTCCTCAGCCTGACCTGTGCCCTCTCACAGTCTGGGAGCCCTCAGGGGATGTCCGACCTAAACCATCAGTCAGATGTCCCCCGAGGGGTCCTTAGCGCTGCTGCGGAGGCAAGAGAGGTTCCTGCCACTGCTGTTGTGCTCGCCAGCTGTGAGCCCCGGCTTCTAGCCTAGTAGTGCTCCCCCTGTGGAAGTGCACTGACCACCAGGGGGCAGCTCCTGTGTTGAACGTCTGCCCCCTGGTGGTCAGTGCATGTCACAGTGACCAGTTGTTTTGCCATTCAGTTGATTTGCATATTAGGGTTTATTATATAGGATTCTAGATGAAAATTAAGGGGCATTACAAAATTTGAAGATATCAAAACTTCATTGAAAAGCAGATCTCACACATACGTTACCTGTGGGAATTTTAGAAAAAAAAAAATGGGCTGAGCCAGCTCAGCCAAGGGTTCACAAGCCTGAGTGAGAGCAGTGAAGGATGAAGAAATGACAGAGAGAATAAGCTGGGTCTAGGTGGATCTTCCTGTGCCTGGCTGAGGCCACAGAGAGAGATCCAGAGGTAAGCTGAGCCTTTATTTTATAGCCAGAGGTAAACAAGGTAGTGGTCACCATAGTTACTCTGTTCTTGTGAGTTTCACTTGTTCTGGCAGCACTTGCTGCACCTCTCACAGCCCATTAGCTATCTAGGAAGGATCTAGGGAGTGTCATAAGGTCAAGCCTAATTATGCTAAGAGGACTGTGCCCTCTAAGCTGGGACTTGTTTGTGGCTTTGCCAACAGGTCAGTCCAAGGCTTAACCCTATAGCCGCGCCCTACAAAAAACACACACAGATCTTGATTTAAAATTTAAAAATATAATTTTAGATCATAACATTTGGCCAATCCAAACAGATTTGCAAAATGCTTACAGATTTATGTGTGTTTTTTCTTACTGAGCTAAAAAGAATGAGTCCATCAATGAAGTGTGGTGTTGGAAAAACAATTTGAAACTGGAAATCATTTTCATTTTTCTATGGAAAAAAAAGGCAACTCATTTACTCTCTATGAACCTCATTCCCTCAGTACCTCATAAAGTAACGTATACTACTCAACAAAATAATGTGTAAGAATATAATCTTTGAACTTAAATGTACTACAATCACTTATTGAGGCATTGTGTTAAGATTACTAGATAAATCTCTCACTTAATTTTTATTATGAACTAGTAAAGTGAATGTTATTATAGTTACTGTACAAGTGAAACATTTGAGGAACAGGATGCTTTATAGTATATATCCAAAGTAACATAGCTAACCAATTTTAGAGGAAGGATTGATCTGATCTTGCTGACTGCAAAACCAGAAGTCTTACCTAAAATGCTATTTTTCCCTGCAACAAAATTTATTATTCTATAATTCAATATGTAGTATCTAGTGATAAATAATACATTATTTTTATCCATAAGTAATATAGCTTACTTAATGCTAGGTTTTGTTGAGGCCAAATCCACATGATCTCATTATTTATCCATAACTTATCTGCTCATTGTCCTTTTCAAAATGTGACAGGCAGGTGCTAATGGAAACAAATTGCACAGGCTCTAATATTGTAATGCCTTTTTAATCATATGTATTGTTGTTACAAAAGTAAAAAAAAAAACAAAAAACTTTCACAAGGAAATTAACAGCTTGATGGATTTTAAAACAGTTGTATTCCTTTATGAAAAGAAAAAATCTGTTTTTGTTTATTCATATTAATATGCTGAACTACTTAAGGGGAGTGGATATAAAAATTCTAGAAACAATATTAAAATATAAAAGGAACACAAACACTCCACTGGGAGGAATTCACTTACAAAGAGGAACTGTACTTTTTGTAAAGATAATCTCCCGAAGCAAGCACTGTGTTCCAACGGAAAGGACTAAATGATACTCAGTGGGGAAGACATTCTCCATTTATTTTATTCATACAAAGCCCTTCATAATTTAAAAAAAGACCCTTCTTATCCTATTTTTATTTAACAGAATTCACTCAGTAAGATGAACATTTACTTTGTGTTTGTTTCCACTTAGACATTCAAGGCCAGAGGAAATGCTCTGACTATACATATAAAAACAGGACCCAGAGTTGACAATAATATTTAGTTGGTTTTACCTCATTTATAATGATCCAGTGACAGTCAAAAGCAACCAAATTAGTCTCCACAACCTAGAACAGAAAACAAAGCAGCTATCAGTCAGTATTAATTATGAAAAATAAACCAAACCAAATGGATGTACTTTGAAAAAATAAAATAAAAAATAAGTAAATAAATTATATGTTAGAAAAGTTGTTATTCAATTGATGACGGAAAAGTGTTACCAAAGAACTGTGGATTAAGCATTGGTGTTTGATGTATAAAGGCATTATAGACTTGCTAATTAAAATTTGAAAATACACTTGATCAAAAGCCTAGAAAAACATAGGTTTCAACTAAAAAATATTATGATACTGTATAGTGATTTAACTGAGAGTGGAGTTTGAATCGCACTTCCTATTCCAAATAAACATTGATGGCTTTCTATTACTCACCTAATAAATATCTAAGTCCTACCCCTCTACAGTCTGGCTTAGCATTCTTATCTTCTAACACTTCCTCGTGTATAAGCTTGCTCTTGTCTTGATAAAGTAAACTGCTCTATGTTCTGAAAAGCTTTGTGCATGTATTCTAAAGAGATCCATTTGTTGAAGTAGCTGAATGAAAAGGCTAGAAGCAATAAACATTATATTAGCATTACGTTACAGGTGGGTAATCCCAGTGGCTTTCAAATTGCTAATAACGTGAACAAAAATAAAACATATGTAAAAGCAAACAATGTATAGGTTACAATATTGGCTGACTACCTTTGGGTAAATTGATTCTAAGCGATCCTTGGCTTAGGCCAAAACAGAAAGGCGCGTGTGTGTGTGTGTGTGTGTGTGTGTGTGTGTCTGTCTCTGTGTGTGTGTGTCTGTCTGTCTCTGTGTGTGTGTGTCTGTAGTAAAGGTAGCTTTTGTATGGAATTTCCATTCTATCTAATCTCATCATATACATAGACATGTTATTATGATTTAAAGCAAGAGGCATATAGGCATATACAGACAGTCCTCGGGTTACGTCAGACTCGATGTACGTCGTTTTGGGGTTACGTCGCCATCTCCCATTTATTTATAAAAAAAAAAGTTCTGTCATTTCAATGTATATCATATGTGCTTTATGTTTTTTAGTATTTATTTACCACAAGTAAAGGTCAGGAATTATTACCTTTTTTTTAATTTTTTTTTTACTGTTTCACTTCATTACTGCTGTGTATCTGCTCCATGTGAGTGACAGGTGCTTATGTAGGTGGGTTCCGACTTAAGGCGAAAATCGTGTTACGTCGCCTTAGGAACGGATCTCCGGCGTAACCAGAGGACCTACTGTAATGGGCAAGTGTTTTTTTAAGAGATTATTCCGTTATTTTCAGCAATAATACCCAAAGATTGGGTTTTAAATAAAGATGCTTTCTAATAAATAGCAAGGAAATGCTAGAAAGTGAGTGTGCATTGTATTTTGGTGGTCAGCCTTTGTCCTATTGAGAAATGCCTATGGAAAGATGTATTCAGGCATAAGAAATGCAATTGCAAATATATTTCTTATGAAATGTGATGTTTTTTTCAAAGTACATACTTATTTTCAGAATGTTTTTTAATTTTGGTGTAAATTTTATGATTTCAAAATACAGCACATCTATAATATTACTGATATATACAGATAATATATTATCATATAAGTTAGGATATGTTGCCTGTTTGAGTTATATCATTACTGTCATTTTTTTGAGATATATGCATGCTCCACTTATATGTGATGCTTAATGTAGAAAGTATGATCCAGGGAAGTTTTTAATTTTAGCTAAAAAAATATAAAATCACTTTACTCCAGTACTTACAGCCTTTCTTCCTAATTTTATGATTATTTTTCTTACACTGTGTCAGTGAGAAATAAATCATCAGTAATTTACTAACAATAAACAGTGTTACAAAATTAGTGGGAATTCCATAAAAACTTAAAGGCATACAAACCAAAGACTCAAATATAAGAAAAATAGTTCTCTGTATGAAATGAAATCAGGTATAGATAAAGAAAAAATGACTAAAGCATGAAGATAGGGAGAATTCAGAGAGAAGAGTAATGAAAGCCAAGATATAGATTGAATGTACTTCGGAAGCCATATAATAGTAGAGTGAAGAGATGACTCAATTTAGTTTAAATTGTTTCCATTTAAGTAATCTATACCAGGTAGCCAGATTAAGCAAAATTTAGGCTATGGGAACTCTGCATTAACCTGTAAAACTTAATAAGTAAAAAGCTATTTTGTCCAACAGAATTTATGAAATAAGTAGAAGGTAAGAGTTACAATGGGAACTTACTGGCAATTTGTATAGTCCATAAAACTTATTCATCTTTCTCACTCTCATGTTGGAAATGAACATTCAGGCAAGAGCATGAAAAAGTATAGTGTCACAGGTTCAATCTTGTGTTTCAAATATCGAATCCCAGATTCCACTCTCTGGACCACCCTCCCTTGCATACTGTGAGCAGGGAAATCATCTTCTCTCACTCCTGTCTTTGGATTTACTCATGAGTACTAACATATGAGACATCTGGCAGTACAAATTTGAAACAAGGAAAATTATTAACACATTACTGCATTAAAAAAAAATAAACCATTTATCACAATAGTGTGAGTTCATGGAGCAGACACCAATCCCCATTCCCTGACGTGGTATTGCACTAACCCTGAAATAAACATCTGTTCTGTGGAGACATTATTACATTTTGGGCCTACTTGTTGGAATAATTTAGCATATCTTATATAATGCAATTCTTTTTTATTAATCTCAGTTATGCAATTTTTCTAGCCCTAACAAATTTCAATAAACAAACTCAGAGTAATTTAAAGTATGTAATTTTATAAAGGCATGATTTCAAAACCATGCAATAGTTGTTGGCCATTTCATACATAGTGAATATGCAGGACTTTTTTTTGCAAGTCCACTTTTCTTTGGGGAAGGAAAGCATATTATTGGGAAAAGGTATATAAAAATGAAAAGTTGGATCTCTCATCCCTTTAATTATATACCCAAATATACATGTATACAAAACTAAAATCCATGTGTTAGTGTGACACCATGTTTTAAAGGATCTTTGAAAACTGTATTGCTAGGTTGTACATAGACAGTTAAGACTCTCATCCATTATCTGAGGAACTGCCCACTAAAAGATGAATATAATTGCCTTGGGTCAGGGTTAACATCTTCACGTATAACCAATGAGCTGGCATGAGTTCTCTGATTGTTTATAATTGAATGTTTCTAAAAGTGAGCAATGTGAAACAGGTACTAATTTAAAAAGTAACTGATATCTGTTATGAAAGGAGCATTTAATAAGGGTCATTAAAAAATGACAGGGAGGTCAATAGCCTACATCTTGGAAACCCAATAGGTTTGGAGTCTCTTCACTTAAATGACTAATATAGATATAGTAGTAGGTAAACTCCTATACATATATGCCTTGCCTATATTAGATATATATTGTACAACTGGTTATATTACATAAAATGTACTATTGGATATATATATATATATATATATATATATATATATATATATATACATATATATATATATATAGTAAAATTATAGTGGAGTTAAAAGGTACAAAAGAGTAATAATGTTTATTGTTTTCACATATTAGCAAAGTGAGCTACTATAGTGAGCATGCTTAGGAGAGACTTAGTTACATAAAAAAGAAATTATTGGCCCTAGTGGGTTTGGCTCAGTGGATAGAGCATTGGCCTGCAGACCAAAGGGTCCCAGGTTCGATTTTGGTCAAAGGCAAGTACCTTGGTTGCAGGCTTCTCCCCAGACTGGGGCCTGTTAGGAAGTGTGAAGGAGGCAACCAATCAATGTGTTTCTCTCACATCAATATTTCTCTCTTTCTTTCCTTCTCTCTTCCACTATCTCAAAAAATCAATAGAAAAATATCCTCCGGTGAGAATTCAAAAAAAAAGAAAAAGAAAAGAAAGAAATTCTCAGCTACTTGTGTAGATAACAAAGACCAACTATGTAAATCCCAAATGAATATATCTGATAATATTTACATCTTTTAGTAATATTAATCTCTTTCCACTTGGTACACTTCAGCCTAAGTAACGCTAAATTGAACTAGTGGTATTACTAGCTGGAATAATTAAGTTAGTCTTGAGTACAGGATTAAGAAGCGATTGGAAGACATTCTAGAATTTTTGAAACCATGTATTTGCCTCCACAGTTACATTAGAACTCAAACAGGGAAAACTGTTTCCTTTACCCATCCTCCTCCCCTAAGTAGCACATCTCTTAGTAAGTTAATCAGGAAACACATTTGAAGCCAATGAAAGAGATTAAACAACTTGAAATTTTTCTTTTTGTCAGTGGGAACCTATTTTATATCTAAGCACATCATTGTTATAGTTGTCTCAACCTGTGGATTCTTATAAAGGTTTAGTAAGTTAGTAAGCAGTGATTGTACATTTTGAGCCAAAATTTAAAAAAAAAAATAGTTTGCTAAGAAATATTGAAGGTCCTAAAAAAGAATATATATTTTATTATCATAATGATAAAAAACAGTACTGAAAACATCACATTATGCTTGGACTATTAAAAGAAAATAACAAGAAAAAAAATAAAACTATCCAATGGGGAGTCTAGTGTGTTTGGTTATCAAAATAACAGAAAGAGAGGAAGTATGAATTTTCCTTGGTAATTTGTTTCTCTTTCCCTCTTATACCATGCTATATGTGTGTATATTAGTAACTAACAATTAGTAACCAAGCGTGGTGCGTGTTCAGGTAGAGTTGCTACCACAGTGATATACAGTAATGTAGTTACAACTAATGAGACTATCAACCTCCCCAGAATCTGAGCTCCCTTTAGGTGTATGAGCAAAATGATGGGAGGCGGGGCGGGGGTGGGGGTGGGGGGGATCAAATCTTGTCAGAAAGACAAGCCCTGAGAAAGGACAGACCATCTGTCACTGGCAGATACTCTAGAACTTCTGAATCTTTAGAAAATCCCAACAAGTTATCACCATGTCTTCTGTCAGTTGTTCTCAAATCTTTAGATGTGCTAAATAAGACAATCTGAAGCAAAGAAACTGCCAGAGC